ATAATAGACTATGAAATAAAATTTATGTGAGTTTTCAAGAGAAAACAAGTGCTCTCAAATTTTGTGCTTTATAAATGTGTTGTGCTATGGTCCAGGTCATTGTGTGTGAACATTCACACCATGTTGTTGTTAGAACTTTGAGAGAAGTGTGAGAAGCACAGGACAGTTCTGTGAGCTGAGACCCTGCTTTTCAATCAAATAAACAAACTTAAGTTTATGTCCTCATTCTACAACTTACTAGCGAGGTGACTCTGGACTAGATATTTAGTCTTTCTGAAAATTTTGTTTGTTTTTTCACTTGTAAAGTGGGGATAACAATATCTATCTTATATTATTGTGTATATTTTTAATAACACATGCACAATGTCTGAGATATAATAGGCATTTAATAAGTAGCTGAAAGAAAACATTAAAATAAATAAAAAATAAGGAGTAACCTATTTTCTTAGTTTCTTTCCCATTGTGCTATTTTTTGTCGTTTGGCATATAAAGAAATAGCTTTAGAACCTAGCTTGGTAGCCCACATCTGTAATCTCAGCTAATGGAAGGCCAGCCCAGGAAGATTGTGAGTTTGAGGTCAGCCTGGTCTCTACATAGTGAGATCCTCTATTAAAAAAAGGGGGGGGAGGGGACTTAGCTCAGGGGTTCTGCCACCTACCTCACAAGCACAAGGTCCTGAGTTCGATCCCTGGTACCAAAAAAAAAAAACGGAATTGTCTCTAAATCTTTTTAATGGTGTATACCTATTAGCGAATTATTTAAATATTATATGTACAGATATATATATAATCCAAAATAATTTGAAGTAATGAAAGAGTAGTAGCTGAAGAGAAAGTGAAGCTACACTGCTTTCTTCCCATGCTCGGTGGACTGTCTTGTGTGCCCCTGTCTTTTGTGCACTGCCTTGTTGTGATAAAGATGGGAACCAGAAATGGTGGCCTTCAGACCAATTCACTGGTGACACATACAGAAAAGTATTCAGACTACATCCATCTCCCAAGAGAATGTAGCTGGGCATAAATAGGGACTAAATTAGCTGGGTGTGGTGGTACCTGTAATTCCAGCCCTCAGCCCCCAGGAGGCTGACGCAGGACCATCATGAATTTGGGGACACCCTGGGACTAAATGGGGAGTTGGAATACAATCTAGGAGGATATATGCAGATGACTTAATCCAAAATATATCTCTAGAAAAGATAACCACAACAAAACCAGCTAATATGTAGAGAAGAATCATAATTCTTGCATATGCATGAATGTCTAAAACACACACAAGCATGCCGGAAGACAGACCTTTGATTGCTGATCCTCTGGCATCAAGACCATAGTTTCATCTCTATCTCCTAATGTCATAATATGGTTGAGTTTATTCCAAGTTTACTTGTGGGAAAATGAAGCACCTTGTAGGTGCTCTTGAGCAACCTTTGAATTGATGAGCTCATGAGCCCAGGATGAAAAATGAGAGTTTTGTCAGGACTCAAATTAGCTTGTAGTACAAGGTAGATGTACTTTGGTTTGGGACCAGTTCAAAAGGAAGATTTCTTGGAAGAAGGATTGGCACCACATGCAAGTTCTGGTTGGTTCAAAGGTCCTTCTAAGGCACCTACTCGGGACCAAAATTTATTTATGGTTCAACCCATCCATCTGTGCCAGGTGACTAAAGCTCCCTAGAATCATAAAAGCTTTATCTTTACTAAAACCAGCACATTATTTAGCTGTCTTTCTAGTCTGCTACTGTTTTAATTGGTTTTAGCTGTCTGTGCCCCAACATCTGTCACTTCTACCTGGGCAAGTGATTAGATTGCATGAAGTCCTGGAGAAAGAAAAGAAAAGAAGGTCTGAGATAGAGCAGCTACCAGGTACATCTGTGGAAAAACAGAAGGAATCAATTGAAGAACATGTGGATGCACTGAACCCTATGCCAGCGTAAGTGCCCAAAGAACTCCAGTTTATTTATTTAATTCTTCAGACTAGTTTCTAATTATCAAGGAGAGTTACTCACTTGATCTTATTTAACCAGGGACAATAAAAAGTCTTGGAGATATACTGCATGTCTCTGAGCACCTGCCACATTTCCTCTTCTGTGTCATGATCAACACAATGCAGATTTGAACAAATTCTTTACCACACAGGAAATCCCCTTCTACCCACACCTTTGGACCAAATAGATAATCTTTCCGGAGCTCAGACCTAAATAAAAGTTCCTGTGAAGAAGGAAGGAAAATATATTTTTTCATCATACAACCCTATAATTGACCAATTTTCTATTAAAATTATAGCAAAGAACTTTAAATACTTGGAATGTTATATTCAATCAATGGACCAGTAAGTAGTTATGGAGTTTGTGCTTTTGAGGATAGCCCTTGGAAAAACGAAGAGGCAACATGCTGAATTCAGCAACATCCAACATTTATCTTCTATATTGTTGAAAAGATTGTGAGTCCTGTTCTCCTGGGGTTCCTGTCAATGAAACTTGACATCAGGTTCTGATATAGAGTCTATTTGTAGCACAATCATTGAAGCCTGCCAAGAACTTGTAGCTGAAACCAAAGATAACAGCTGGACAAATGAAAGGTTAAAGATCATACAAATTGCTTCTTTTTATTTTTTTCTCAAAAAAAAAAGTGATATGTTGATTACAGGTATAGGAAAGATTAGAATCATTCCAAGTCTTACCACCTAGAGATATTGCTGTTAACATTTTTGGTGTATGTCATACCTGCCAGTTTTTTTAAACTATGACTATGTCTATATATTTCATTCACTACCTATATATTATAAAAAATAAGAAGAGCTATTTTTAAAAATATGTGTAAAAACACCAACAATACAACTGAAAGACTTATTATATACCAAAAGGAGTAAGTTTGGATGTATCCTTAAAATCAGCTTTTAAAAGCAAAGATCAAGTAAGAGATACATTTAGAGATATTTTATATCCCTGAAAGGAAACCAGCAACCAATATTTATCCAAAATCGTACTTGCCAACTGAGACTGGGGTTACATTGTTCATTGCTGTCTTAGATTTCTAAATGGTAGTGGTGATTATACTATAATGATGGATTTTTCAGGTCCTCTTTATTTAAAGAGGCTTTGGGGAAACAAGGGGGACAGCATTGGCATCAGCGTACTCATAGTGGCACAGGCTTGTAGCAATAGGTCATTATATCATTACAACTGTAACAATAAAACTGAAGTTTTAATAAAAATTAGTAATTGTTGGAGCCGGGGATTTAGCTCAGTGGTTTCTCTGCCTGCTGTGCAAGCGCAAGGACCCGAGTTTGATCCCCGGTACCCAAAAGAAAATAAAAAAAATTAGTAATTGTAGCTCTGAGAGGTATTTTGATAGTACTGTTTTTAAGTCATGATCTTCGTCAGTTACAAATTTTGTTTTTTATTTCCTCTCTAGATGTTTTTATATAGTTTCCCGGAAAGAAGCAACTGAGATGTTGGAGAAGAATCCTTCCTTGGGAAATATGATCCTGAGACCTGGTAGTGACAGTAGAAACTACTCCATCACTATCCGACAGGAGACACAGTATGTTTAATTTAAAAATGTGTAGAACTGTTAAAAACATGACATTGCTTTAGAAATCAAAGACACAAGTTCGGACCAATACCTGTCTTGTTGCTGAAAGTTAAGAATAGGGAAAGCATGTCAATAAGCAAGGATACAGAATGAGTCAAGGGTAATAGTTGAAGTAGGGAAGAAGAAAAATGAACAAATCACTTTGGTCCTAGATACAATGGTATTGTTCATCCATTCAATCAATAAATATTTATTGGGCAGCTACTATGTGCCAAATAATTCTCTAGGCACTAAGGATACAGAATTTTAAAAACAACATCCTTGGTTTCATGGGGCTTACCCTCTTGGAGGAAACACAGACTATAGATAAACATGTAACTAAAATATCATATATATGGCAATAAGGTCTATGGAGTAAAAGCATTATGAGAGAGACAGGAATTCTTGGTGGCAATAAAAAGAGAAAATTTTTGTGGTTGCTATTGTTTTAACATAGAGTGGTCTTGGAAGGTCTGCTTGATTAGCTGACACTGGAGCAGAGATCTAAAGAAAGTGAGGGAACAAACTCGGCCAATATCTGGGTTAAGAACAGGCCAGGCAGCTTGGACCCAGAGGCAGAAGAATGCTTAGCTTGTTCAAGAAACAGAAAGAGACCATTGTGTCTGCAATGGAGTCATAAAGGAGAAAAGTATTAGGAGATAAGATTCCAGAGGTGGGGCAGGGACACATCACTCAAAATCCTGTAGGTTTTGTTTTTGTTGGTTGGTTGGTTTTTTGAGACAAGGACTCACTATGTAGCCTAAGCTGTCATTGAACTCACTGTGTAGCCCAGGCTGGCCTAAAACTCCTACCTCAGCCTCCTGAGTGCTGGCTAGGATTACAGGTGTGCACCACGACGCCCTGTCCTATGGGTCACTGTGGAGACAAGAGTTTTTCTCTGGATGACACAAGAGGCTGCTGGGCTGTTGACACAGTCTGACTTATTATGAAAAGGGCTACTTAGGACCCTCTTGATAAGTTTAGTAATTCCTTCTGGTAAAATGGTTGACTAATGATAAAGTCAGAAACAGTTAAATGCAAATGTTTTTCTATATATGTAGTTAGAGTGAGTGGATTTTTTAAGAACCACTCTAGTTTTTAAGAATCTATGAAAATTCGAATTTCAGTAAGGACTCTGGCTTAAAACATAAAGGCTTTTGTCCTACACATAAAATTCAATAACTGATTGTCTTTCATATAAAAGCATAATAAGAATTGTGATTCTCGAAGTTGCTCTTTCTCCTTTCTTTATTGCCTTTTCTCCCTTTCTTTTTTCTTTCTTCCTTTTCTTTTTTTTCTTCCTTCCTTCCTTTTTCTCTTTCTCTTCCTTCCTTCCTTCCTTCCTTTCTTTTTTGAGACTGGATCTCATTATACAGCATGCTGGCCTTGAACTTGGCCATTCTGTCTCAGCCTCCAAAGTGTTGAGATTATATGGGTGCATCACCATTCCAGGTTTGAATTTGCTATGCTCTGTGGGAATAACACTCTATTTATTGATTATTACCTACCAATAAATATATCTACTGATTCATCCCATAAATCTTTGTAATTATAAATAGAGTCAATATGAAGACAATGATAATGAGTCAAGGCAGTAAAAACGAAATAGTCAGAAACCAAAATAGTTACTTGCAGGAAAAATTAAAATTATGGCACTATGGCTGCACCGTTAGTGTGAGCTATGGCACTAAAAGCTCTATTCACTTGCCAATTAGACCATGTATATAGATACTTCTCTTTATACACCATGTGCACTGAATAGTTGGCAAGGATGTTAGAGGGTAAATCAGATCCTAGTTCTGTGTATGTGTGTTCCACAATGAATATCTGTCAATCTTCTTGTGGCTTCCTGATGTTTTCTATGTTATCTTAATAACATATGTTAAACATTAACGATGAACTTTTAACTCCATTGGAATATGGTATATAGATTTTTTAAATTTATAGGTTACTTGACTATCTTGAAACAAAGCCAAAAGAAACAAAAGTTGTCACTGCCATCAAATATCATTAAGCTTAGAACTCCTAGGTGAAAAGTGTATTTTTCTGTTTTGTATCTCTTGTTCAAGCATTTTGTCATTTTTCAGAGTTTAGGGAATTGAGTGTCACATACAAGATAGAATATCTTTACCTATTAACTCACACTTTTTAAAAATAAGAGAATATAAAACTGAATTAAAACTTACATAGAAAAAATTTTTAAGAAATATAATCTAACTGTTAAAAAAATTAGGTCACATAGAAAGTGATCAATTTTTGTCCCTCATGTTATTCCTTTCTTGGTTTGTTTGATTCCCTCACATGTGAACTATTTCCTGCACAATAGCAGCAGATCTCTTTTAAGGTAGTCTAAATTAGTTCAACTTTTGCATTGCATTTTCCATATAACTGAGCTAGAGAAATAACAGCATTTTCTGCTACAAATGTGGATTATGATTGTTATAAACAACACATGAGAGGCCATCCAGACACAGGCTTTATGTGAGAAAGAAAGGCTGGATTTATTCTCTCTGGATTCCGGTGGAAATCGTGAATGATACCAGCAGCTACCTGGAAAAGAAACTAAGTTTTTATAGGTTCGGAGCAGGGGGCCATAATCCTAAAGAATCTGGAGTGGAATGTTTATGATTGAGGGTCCAAGGATGGGCAGCACAGGTGTGAATATAATACTGGACTCTTCAACACCGGGGAGATTGTTATTCCATCCTGAATTTTCTTTAGGGCCATCTGTTCTGTTTAGTGAGAGTACCATGGCCTTTTTGTTGTTTGATGAGTGCTGCATGTTTGCTTAGAAGGTCTTATGTGGGTCAGGCATGACAATGACCACATGCAATGAGTTTCTATACTTAGGATATGAATTTAATGCCACAGTTTTACTATATTTATATTGTATTTTAGTTGTATTTGAAATGTCTAGGAAAGTTTGGAAAAAGAGTTCATATCAAAGTTATGTAATTCTAATTTTAGTAAACTCCCAGTTTGATGTCAGCTGATGGTTGTAAAAACGTGGGATTTAGCTCAGTGATGACATGCCTGCCTTGCAAGTGCAAGGTCCTGAGTTCGATCCCCAGTACCAAAAAAAAAAGAGTAACATTTCATAAAACCACCTCCCTTACCATAAGTACTTAGAAAGCAAAAAGTGAGGTATATAGTCAAGCTAAAGCATTCCAACTCTGGAGTTGGTATGTGCTCTTTAGGCTTGAGGGAACTGCTTACACTTACAAGAATTTAACTGTTATTACACAAAGTTTTCCTTATGAACCAGATTACATGTATGATATTAAGGATCATTATCTGTGTCTCTAATGCATCAGAACCAGGCCTTTGAGAATGCCTGAATTTCATATCTTCTATTTAACAGGTCACTTATTTTATTATTATTATTATTATTTTTTTTTTTTGGTACCAGGAATCGAACCTTGTGCTTGCCAGGCACGTGCGGCACCACTGAGCTAAATCCTGGGCCAGGTCACTTAATTGTTTTTTTTTGTTTTGTTTTGTTTTGTTTTGTTTTGTTTTTGGTACCTGGGATTGAACTCCCGACCTTGTGCTTGCAAGGCAGGTGGTGGAACCACTGAGCTAAATCTCCACCCCACAGGTCACTTAATTTTTAAGGACAACAATTATAGAATGTATTAGAATTTTAGCTTACAAAAGACTTTAGTAGAAAAGTGGACTATTAGGAAACACCTGTGTTTCCAAAAGCCCAACTAATTCTCTTACAAGTACATTATAGAGAAATGGTCAGCCATTCAAGGTAGATGAGTGTTTGTGGTAAAACACCAGCTGAAAAGGACAAGTTGGTTTACAAAGCAGTACTTGAAAGCAAACATTCTCTTTGTTTCCATTTTTTTTCTTTTCTTTTCCCTCCCACCCCTATGTAAATAGGGAAGGGCATAGAGGGTGAAGGGCACACAGGGAATGGGGAAAAAAATAACCAAGATACATCATGTACAGGTACAAGCACCCAATGATAAATGTAAACATATTGTATACCTGAAATGTACCAAAAAAAGAATTTAAGGGGAAAAAAAAGAATAATAGACCAAATTTTGCATGAAAAAAAAAAGAAAGCAAACATTTTCTATTTGTTAACAAATCAGCTGTTGGAAGGAAAACTCGTCTCAGGAATAAACAAGTCATTTGGTGACAAATTAACAGGTGTAGAATATCATCCATCTTTTCCCAGCTTGTTGGTGGCCATGGTGAATGCATTCATAAAACATAAAGCTATTCTTACAACCAACTTCATGTTTTGGTTTTGTTTTCTGAAAATTATTGACTAGGTGCCATGCTAATAATAAAGACAGCTTGGAAAGTCATTAGCTAAGGAAGCAGTGGAAAATGTTTAAAACAAAACAAAATACAAAAGAAAAACAAAAGGCCTAAAATGAGAGTCAAACCCTGAGCAACTTCAGTGGAATTTTTTCCACCTTCCTTTTTGCTTCAGCATTCTATTAATCAACTTACCAAGAGACCCTATGACCGTTTTCAATTTTCTTCCCACAGCTAGCTATGAATGATGATCTGACCATATGATGGTTATTACTAACAGGAGCAAACATAGTCCCCCTTGCACACAGTCCCACTTGTGAACCCTGTGTTGAGTGCTGGTAAGCACTGCCTTCAGGCACAATGAAAATACTGAGGCAAACAGGATTTTACATGTTTTACAAATGAAGAGGCCAAGACTCACAGAAATTCCCAAATTAAAACTATAAATTTAAAATGTAGTAAAAATATAGTTTAAATGACTGGAGTGCTTAAATGTGTCAGACAATACTGAGGACTTTGCAAGCATTAACCCAAAGCAGCCCTGTGAAGTACGGCATCACCATCTCCATTGTATGGATGAGAAATAGGAAAGCACACAAAACAGAACCAGAATCTGAACCGAAGAATAGCTAGCATTTACTTTATAGGATACCGAAATTCTAACTGAACTTGGAGAGAGTTTGAAACAATAACTATGTGATTACAAAGATCTGCCCATGGTAGGGGTAAAAATAAAGCCAGAGTGAATCACCCCAAATGGGTACATGTAAGATCTTTCCTGTCCAAATATATTTCTTCACCAGTCTGTAACTGACTCATGAAATTTCAGCATTAAGGAATACTTTCTTTTAGGAAGGGAGACAGTTGGTTGGATTTCTGCAATTATTTAAAAAATGTCATGAAAATTAATTTATTACTTGTTTTCTAACAAGGAATCCAGTTGAGAGCAGACTTGGATAAAGAGGCAGATGAGACAGTCTTCTCAGTAGAAGACTTCTGTATAGTGCATTGAGTGTAAGAACTGTAAAATCAGCTGGAAATGAAGAAGAAGTGATTTAATAAGGTGGAAAGGCCTTGTAGAATAGCTTAACCTAATGAACAATCTTGCTTTAAGTAGCTTCTGGTCATAAGACAAATGTCATTCAAACAAATGACATAATACTTGCTGTAAACTTTTAAACATTAGAAAACGTTTACTATCATATGAATTAAAGGAATTCAAGACAAACATGCTGTTGCTCAAAGCTAACTGGCATGCATACTGACTTCTGCACTCAGTATAAATTTGTTTAGTTCTAGGAGACAGAATTATGTGGTGATTTAATTTTTTTCAAAAATATTTATTATATGCCCAGTGCTGGAATAAGAATGTGCTACTTGTTTTTTTAAGCATTTCATAATCAATAACATATCACATACTCAGGGTGGTAATAATTTAGAGTACTATGTAACTATAAAAGAGGAAGGCAGCTGGGCACTGTGGCATGTGCATGTTATCCAACCAGCCTGGGAAGCCAAGGGAGGGGAAGTTAGTTCAAGTTCGGCTGGGCAATTTTAATAACTTAGTGAGACTCTGTCAAAATTGAAAAGAAAAGGAAGATATACTAATTTTAGTTTGCATTGACCCAATCATATAACCATTTGTATTGTTATTTAGCATGCCAAGAATCAAGCACTACAAAGTAGTAAGCACAGGAGAAAACTACACTATTGAATTGGAGAAACCTGTAAGTACCTATTTCTTTGTTGCTGATGAATTTTCTCCTCATCTTTCTCAAACCTACCTTTATACCTTGATAGAACAGAAAGAAAGGTGGGAAAGAAGACTTCCTTTCTAGGGACATAGTGCTGGCTAAAACAGGTAAGTTAAGGAGCCCTGCAGGTGGCAGATACCCAGAACAAGAAGTGAGATGCAACAACAGGCAGGTGAGGCAGAGTAGGAGATAATCTGCTTCTAAAAATGCTTTCCTCTTTCATTTTTCTGCGAAATTTTTTATTTCTTTGCAGTACTGGCAATCAAAGCTACAGGGCCTCACTCATGCTAAGCAAGCACTTCTGCCACTGAGCTACATCCCATCCTTTTTTGAATTTTATTTTTTGAAAGGAGCAAGTTGCCCAGGCTGGCCTGGGATTTGCTAACCCTCTGCCTCACTCAGCCTCCCAAGTAGCTGGGATTACATGTGTTCGCTACCACACTTGTTCGCTTTGAGTCCTTTTTAATATAATTGTTTCAGGGGGAGAAGAAAGTATTTTTATTAGACATTTGTCGTACATGCTCCAATTTTAAGTATTAAATGTGCTTATTTCTAATGGAAGAAAAAAAATCTGTGACTATCTAAACCAGTGGTGGAGAACCTATGGCACATGTGTTATTTTTCTTTTAAGACAAAAGATATTAATGTATGAGTTGTTTTTTCTAAACTAAAACCTCAATCTTCAGGTTTAATTGCAGTATTGGCACTTTGTGATACATAAGTGGCTTTTGGGTTGCAATTTGGGTGTCTCTAAAAGGTTTGCCACCACTCACCTAGGCCTTTAATACCTGCTATACTGAAGTTGAGCAATTTCCTCTGAATAAAAACATACCAGTGAAGACAGGGCTTCTTCTTTGTTTTCAACCCCACTCCAAGCCTAGCTGACTTATCAATAACTAACAATATACAATCGAAACCACCAAATACCATGTTAGGCTCAGAGCTAAGTAGTTTACATTTACAATTTAATGTTTTTCAGTACCCTGGGGTAAATATTGCTATGTTTGTTATACAGATGAGATATTCATACTGGTCTCAGCCAGTAACAGTGTGATGTGGCCTATGTTCTAGGCTGCTAAGAAGGAATATAGCTCTGTGATCTTAGCTTGTAGTGATGATGTCTCTGAACAGTACTTAAATGGAACTGGTGAGTCTCAAAAGATATTTACATTTTTCTAACACTGAGCTCCTAGTTCCTCTGCCTTTCCAGGCCATTGTGCTGATCAAATAGAAAAATAAACAGTGCAATTGAGTTACTTATATTTCAGCCATAACCCTTAGAGATAAAGACAGGTACTGATTTACACAACACACACCTTTGCCATAAATCCTCCCAAAGTTGGTCAGTACTTAGATCCATGTCTACTGTATTTTTAATGGAGACAAGAACTAGATTGCTAAAGGATCATCCAAATAATTAAGGGAATGGAAGTAATGGTCAGAGAGAAATAATGTATCTGGCATATATTCATAACTGGTGAACTGGGAGAAAAATTAAGAGCCTGGATTATCTTTTCACCTTTCACTCTTCCTAAGCCCTCAACCTACCCCTCAATCAGGCTGAAGTTTTGTTTGTTTGTTTTTTGAGACAGGGTCTTGCTCTTGGTCCAGGCTGGCCTTGAACTTTTGGCCATCCTCCTCCTCAGCCTCCAGAGTGCTGGGATTATAGGTGTATGCCACCATATCTAGTTCAGGTTAAATTTTTGTGATTTTGTTTTCTTCAAAGTTACCTGGGATATTCAGATTTAACTAGATTTCCCTTACATAAAAATAATTGGTTTAGAGGTAGAGACATATTTCAGTAACTCCTAGACTAGTAAATTCTCCTGTTACAATGAGATATTAAAATGCTTAACTTCTTTGACTTCAAGCGTTCTTTGATTTCAAGCAGAGGAAACTAATTATGCCTAACTCAAGCAAAAATGAGTTTATTAGAGTTTATTATAACAGAAAATATTCTCATAAATAAGCACTCTGAAGGCTAGCAAATCTTCAGAGACTAGGAACAGTTACATCTACTAGTAACCATTTAATTAGAAAATCACTCTCTTTTCTTGTTCCTAAGATTGAGCTCAATTTTCAGGAAAGGAACATATTCTGTCCTAACTTGAGTCATTCTTGTATCTTAATTGGGGGAGAGCAAGGTATCCAGCTGTTGGTCACCAGATTATATTCAATGGGAAAGGGCTAATTCCTCAACAAGGATTCAACACATAATTAGGTAAAACCACTGAAATAAATTACTGACATGATTTTCTGGAGGCCAGGCAATATACAATAATTTCGATTAAACTGCAGTCGAGCCTTCTCTTATTTTATCTTTACCCAGCTGACACTCAGCCTTCTCTCACTTTCTCTTTACACAGGTCACACTCCCAAGCCTTTTCAATGTCATTGATTATTTTGTGAAGGAGACTGGAGGAAATTTACGACCATTTATTTATTCTACTGATAATAACTTTGGTATGTTCTTTACTTTATTGCTGTGTTAAGAAAGACATAACTGAAAAACTGATACGGTTTGTAACATTGGATAGGCATGAGCTGTGGTTTAGCCTTTGAATTTATCCATTTGGGAATCATTTTGTTTCTGAGTCTGTGAAAATAAGGGAGCACCAATAAATCCTTGTGAATAGAGTATGCTTCCATTCAAGGGGATGAAAAATCCTGAGGCATTGTGCAATTACCTTCATTCCACAATTATATTTGGCTTTGCCAAACATGTTCAGCTGTATAAAGGAAATATAAAGGGTAATCTGTTCACAATGTCAAATGCTTCAGATAGGATAGAATGAATGCAGATTAAGGAGAGACTATGGGAATTGGTCATTAGGCAAAAGATGAATTGAGAGAGAGAAGTTTTATTCCACCATAAAGGCAGAAGTAAGATGATAGGATAACAAGGAGTAGGTGATGAGGAACTACAAAGACTAAAGTTAGGACCAGCGACAGAATGTGTGGGCCCTTTGTTCATAAATGAAGTTCAAAACAGTGAGAGCATCCCATTACACCAAGCAACTGCACATGTCACATGTCCATCAAACTGGCTTTGCATTCTAGTTTTTGGCAGAGCAAGGCAGGCTGGATGTAATAGCTGCTCTTTATTTTTGCCAACAATGCCTACTACATGTGGTTATCAGCTAAGTATTTCAAACATCATTATGAATCTTCTGAGGCCAAATAACAGAAAACCCAAAAACTTAAGAGTCTGAAAACCTTCAGAAACTCATTGAGCACAGTGTCTACTCTGCAGGAATTACCTGTACACTCAGAACAGCAAGCATCTCTAAAATGTGACCATGCAACTTGTTCAAACATGTCTATGGCTGGAGGTGTAGCTCAGTGGTAGAATGTTTGCCTAGTGTTTAAACGGCCCTGAGTTCAACCTCTGGACCTCAAAAAAGAAAAAAAATCTAACACTGGGAGGCTTGAGGGGTGAGTGCATGCAAATCCAGGGGAGCAGCTGTGTGGCTCAGACCAGTGAGGCTGCAGGCAGATCCCAGCTAGGGGTCTGCCCTGATACCAGAGGCTCCGGCACACCCACCCAAGCCAAAGGCCTGCCCAGAAAGGGGCTGCAGGAGCACACAGGCTTCAGCCAGAGGCTCACCATACCATCGGCCACAGCCAGGGACCTGCCTGGAGAAGAGCTGTACAGGTACACAAGCAATAACCAGAGGCTTGCCCCAGTACCACTGATAAGTGTAAGGAGACCCTAGCCAAAGCCTGTGCAAACAACAGAAACTAGGGTGCACAGCCCCTAACCAAAGGCCCTCCGAGACAATAGCTACATAGGGGCCCTAGCCAGAGGCATGCCTAGATACCATCTCAAGTGTGCTCAGGCCCCAGCCAGAAGCCCACCCAGACAACAGGTCAGCTCAGGGATCTAGAAGGCCACCACTCTGAACCCAGGAATTGGTGTACTGGTGAGCAGCAGAGTAAAGGCTGCTTGGTGGCTTGCTGAGAATTCAAGACCACTGGGTGAGCAAAAACTCGCCTCAACAAAGACACAGCAGGCTGCATCTGTTGAAATGAGAAGACATGTAAATAAGTTCCAAAACCAGACTTCCAGATCACCTAAGGGAACTCCAAAGGGCAATGAGATGGAACAATCTGATACTCAACCACTTGGACTCCCTGAACTGGCAATGAAAGGGGACCTGGAAAAAATGAAATCAGAAATAATTTCTCACATAACAGCAGAGATTGTGCCCATAGTACAAAACATGATTAATAAATCTAGAGTGGACACAGATAAAAAAATAGAGGAACTGAGGAATATGATGGAATCCCAACATAGGAAACAAATGGAATCCATAAAACACATGCAAAAGAGATTGCCAGGAGATTAAAAACTCTATTGAAAGTTTACACAGCAGAATGAGCCAATGCGAGGACAGAATTTCAGATATAGAAGATAGGATTGTAATTAGTGACCAGGAAAAGAAAAATTTCTTAAAAATAGTAAGGGACCATGAGAAATCAATCCTGCAGCTGCTAGACGATGCAAAGAAGAATAACATCAGAGTGTTTGGAGTCAAGGAAGAAACAAGGAGGCTTACTGATTTTTGAGGCAGTACATTTCACTTCTGGTCAGTTGTGTCATTTTTTGATACTGGGCATTGAACTTAGGGCCTTTGCATTGAGACACATCCACAGCCATTTTTATTTTATTTCAAGACAGAGTCTCGCTAAGTCAATTAGTTGCCCAGGCTGGGCTTGAATTTGCAATCTTCTTTGTTTAGCCTCACAGAGTGCCAGGATGATAGGCATATACCACCATGCCTGGCTCTGGTCAATTTTTGTATTAAAGAATTTATCCTTAATATTGAGTCTGAAAGAATTCATCCTTAATATTGAGTCTGAAATATTTCTTTTCATGTTTATACATACATCTAATTTCTAGCATTATAACATTTAAAAATGGCCAGTGTCTCTCCTGAGTCTTTTCTGTCGTCTAAATTGCTGGTTCCTGTGGCCCTCTTACTCTTATCTTTGACCTCAGTACATTAATTTTCTTAATTTTTATTTTGATTAGTACATGTTTGCAGTACATAATGACAACATTCATCATAGGGAGTTGGTACATGTACAGAATACGTCTTAATTCCTTTTATATTTTTTCCTTCCCCCTCCTTCCATTGGTCTCCCTCCCATTTGAGAAAGATCTCCCTGATTCCTATTATCAATTTTTTTTTTTTTTTTTTTTTGGTACCAGGGATCGAACTCGGGACCTTCTGCTTGTGAGGCAGGCACCGGAACCAATGAGCTAAATCCCCAGCCCCTTTTATTTTTCTCTTTAATTTATTTATATCTTTGATTTTCATAAAAGAGAAGCTATGTAATATTTAAACTTGTGTGTCTGATTTATTTCACTTAATATTCTCAAGGTGCATTCATTTTTCTACAAATGATTCAGATTTATCCTTCTATGTAGCCAAACAGTATTCCATTATATATAAATACCATATATTCTTTATCCATTTATCTGTTTATGAACATATAGGTAACTTCCAAGATTTAGCTATTATGAGGTGTGCTGCTATAAACACAGGTATGCATATATTACTGTAAAATGATCTCTTTAACTTTTTTTTTTTAAGAGTAGGAAAAATTTATTGAGAGAAAGACTGCTTCTAAGAGAGACACAAGGGGGACCAGAAAGTGGGTTGCCTGATGTCTTTAACTCTTTTGGAAAGATACCAAAAAGTGAGATAGCTGGGTCAAATGAAATTTCTACTTTTAATTTTGAGGAACCTCCATACTGATTTCCATAGTGGTTATATTAGTTTACATTCCCACCAACAATGTAGAAGGGTTCTCTGTGGCCTGGCCAGCATTTGTTATTATTTGACCTCTTGATTAATAGCCATTCTTCTTAAGTAAGATGGAATCTTAGTGTTTTAATTTTTATTCTTCTAATGGTCAGAGATGTTTCATGTATTTATTGCCCATTTATATTTTATCCTCCTGAGAAGTGTCTGTTCATTTCACTTGATAATTTTGACTGGGCCTTTTATTTTGGAGGTCTAAGTTTTTGAGTTCTTTATGTTTTCTGCATACTAGTCCTCTATCCAAGGAGTAGGTGTCCAATTTTTTTCCCCATTTTGCAGGTTGTCTCTTTATCCTGTTGGTTGTTTCTTTTGCTGTGCAGAGGCTTAATTTAAGCTTAACTCCATTAACTCCATTTGTTGATTTATTTCTTGTTTAATTAGGGTTCTGTTCAGAAAGTCCTTGCTTATGCCTATGTATTCAAGAGTTTTATCTATTTTATCTTCTAGTTAAATGTTTTTGTTTTAATGTTTAGATCTTTGATCCATTTTGATTTTAGTTTAGTACATGGTAAAAGATATGAATCTAGATTCAATCTTCTGCATGTGGATTCCAGGTTCCCCAGCACCATTTGTTAAAGTTTTCTTTCCTCCATTTTTTTTTTTTCCTCTGTCAAAAAACAGATGGCTGAATGTACCTGGGGTTTTCTTCATCCTATATTCTGATCATTTGTCTGTTTTTGCGTCAGTTTCATGTTTGTTTGCTAAATCACTTTGGCTTTATAACTAGAAATCTAGTATTGTGATGCCTTCTCCTTTGCTCACTACCCAGTGCTGCTTTTGTTATTCTAGATATCTTCTGTTTCCATTTGAATTTTAAAATTGCTTTTTCTAGTTCTGTGAGGAATGCTGTTGGTATTTTGATTAAGTCTACATTGAATCAGTGTATCAATTTTGGAAGTATGACCACTTTGACAATATTAGTTCTGCTTCTCCAGGAACAGGAGATATCTTTTCATTTTCTGATGCCCTCTTTGATCTTCTTTTTCAGAGTACTGTCTTATTTACTTTTCTTGTTGCTGAGACACAATACCTGACACCAAAATTTAAAGGAGAAAAGGTGTATTTTGGCTCACAGTTTGTAGAGGTTTTAGTCCATAGTTGGCTGGCTGCAAGGCAGGGTGGCATGGTAGAGAACAGCTCATGGCATGGCAGACAAGAAGCAGAAAGAGATAAAGGGAGAGGGATACCCTTCCAGGCCATGTCCCCAGTGAACCACCTCCTCCACCCATGCTCTACCTCCTAATATCACATTTATCTATAAACTTATTGGTAGGCTAATCCACTGAAATTGCCATGCCTTAATGATTCAATCACCTCCCAAAAGCCCCACCTATGAGCACATGCAGTTTAGGGGGACATCTAGATATAAACTGTAAAGAGTACTATAGTTTTTTTTAAAACTTCCTTTATTAGGTTAATTCCTAAGTAATTTTTCTTGAAGCTATTGTGAATGGGATTATTTTCTTAATTTCTTTCTTAAAGGGTTATTAGTGTACAGGAACACTATTGATTTTTGATGGTTGATTTTGTATCCTGCTACCTTGCTGAATTTATTAGTTCAAGAAGTCTTCTGGTAGAATTCTTGGGTCTTTGATGTAAAAGATCATGTCACCTTTGAATAAGGATAGTTTG